TTTCATTGAAGACCGTTAGGGTACTTGGCTTTGAAAAGAGTTTCATGAGGGGATAGGCTGAGTAGGCGTAATAGAATGAAGTTATTGAAGGCCGTGGGAATGATGACCATATTGACCATCATGCCAGCAATGTAGAACATTTCGTTTTTCCCATTTTCCCCCCAGATTGTTTTGAAGCGGGGGATACCTGATAAGTAGCATTTTCAACGCAGGCTCGGGCTCCTGCGTCCATGGCTCATTACCTTCGAGTCGCTTCGACCTTGTGATTCACTCAGATTTATGCTTCACTCTGGGCCTAAGTATATTGGTCATCCACCTGATAATCTTTATTCTTGAGAGCAACTCGTGAAAGCTCTGGGACAAGGAAATACAGCGCGGCGCTCTTCGTGGTATTGGCCCCTGGAAGCGCATATTGACAAATCACAAACCTGTATAGATATTTTAGTTTCCTTAGGTAGAGGTAGTTATTGCACAGCCAGATACGCTCAAACAACACTAACTCCACTGAAAGCCAGCTCCGTACACAAGGGCATGCAGCGTGCACCAAAACCAAACTATATTCACAATCATATACTGCCGACAACAACGAATTATACAAACGCTTTTCAAGCCAAACATACGTAAATATGGTGCCTCACCAGTCTTAACTCAGAGTGGTTAAAGTTCCGTCGACTTTCTTCTCAAGTCCGGTCCAGCACGGAAACGTCCAGTCTAAGCTTCACCGTAACTTCGGTTAGAATGGGCACACCCAAGTTCCCTACCACTCAGCACTGCGACGCTGGATTAGGAAGGTGTAATGGTGCACCAAGGTGACGAAACGAAGGTACAGTAGGACCGGTCCTGGATTATGGGAAGTGGGTTACATGCATAGCACAAGTAGTCTGCAGGCTTGACTAATATCGACGCCACTCTGGTCACGCCCGCGGGGTTGGCTTAACCCTATTTCCTTACCCATAAACATTTACCAGTATCATCATTATTCACCCAACAAACTTTCGGCCTACAACTTAGAATCACACAGAGAACAACTCGCAATTTTCTTTGATTTATATTCAATTCTCTATTCAACCGGTCATCTTGATACCAGCAGCTCGAAATGACAGCTTCGTCTCCCCGTTTTGTAGACCTACCATGGGAGATTCGATCTAAAATATGGGAGTACACGGCCGAGCCACGCACAGTCGACGTCAACATCACCCGCTCCAACAAGCCAGTCACCGACGAACTGAGAGCCAAATTCAATTTTGGTTGCGAGCATGCGGATCCCTTCTGGATTACCATCACCCGATTTCGGTCACCCACCCCTGTGCCTGCGGCCCTGCACGCCTGTCGAGAAGCGCGCAATCACCTTACGACAAAGGATGGTGGTGGGTTGGGGCACTATCACAAGGTCTTCCACCAACTCTGCCCCGCGTCGTTGGGAGTATTTCCAGGCACCCTACCACTGCACAACCCGGACTTCCGGCTTTTCCTGGGCGTGGACCCGGAATCGGAGTCGGCACGTTACATCTGGGTGAACTTCGAAGTCGACCTGATCAACATTGGGAAAACCCCTTTCGACGAGTTTCCGCGGTTATTCAAACACAGCATCAGACGGCTCAAGTTCGAGAACGCATACGACGACAACTTTGCGTACTACAGCGGTCTCGAACACTGGACCAACCTCCAAGAGATCCAGATCGTCTGCACGGACGGGATACATGCAGAGAAGTGGGCGTCGCTGGAAGATGAGTGGTGTCTCTGGACGACAAGAAACGTCTTGCTGATCGATGGCAAAACCAGAAAAACCGGAACCGGAACCGGAACCGGAACCGGAACGGGGGGCGAGGCCGACGAGACGGTGATGATATCTTACTCCGACTTGGCTGCTAGGTTTGATCTGGCTGGGCTGCGGGCAGCCAGGTACAGGAAACGAGGAGCAAGAATTAACCCTGACACTCATATGCCGTTGGTACCTTGGTTCCCGCCGGGGTGGCTGGAAGGAGAGCACATGATTGATCTTGAGTACTACTACGAGAATGGCGAGGAAGAGTTCAAAGAGCGGGTTCTTGAGCCTCTGTCGGATGATTGGTATGAATATTCAGATCTGGAATCAGACACGGATTAGCGATGACTCTGGAAGATTTTGTGCGTCCAGGATGGTTGGCGAGGGGTTAAAGCACGCGGAAGACCGCGGGAGGGAGGCTTCAACTTTCCCACGTACATAGTCTCTACATATAGGTACTGCTAACGCCAGTATGCCAGCAGCGTTGGATGATGGGTATTGTACATTACTTCACACGGTACCTATGGTCGTATATGGTTGTCGAAGTCCATTGTTATCCTTCAGTAAAAAGACTTGGCCTACTTGCCAGGACTAAGTAGATAGAAATATCACTGACCCCTTCATGTTCGAGTGAAACCCACTGATACACAAACGCAGAAACCCCCAGGACCCCGAACATGATCTTGAAAAATCACCCCTCACGTAAGTGGCAGAGTTGAATAGGTACCTCTAGCAAGTGTGTCTTTGCCGAGGAACTCTTAGCCTAAAGCACCAGACTCGTCCCAATGAGAGGTAGCCAATATCTCAGGTTTTCAGAGTGAGAAAGAGGGAATTCTGAAAAAGTGCCATGGATGGAGCGAGAGTCATAACCAAGGAGGGTCAATTGTACTACGGTCATGAGTACCAATACCACGAAGAAACAAACCATTCATCAAGCACAGCAACGAAACCATTTATTCAAGCTTCAAATAATTGTATTACCCCAGGCTGCCAATATTTCACAGGAAAAAAAAAAAAAAAAGGAAGAAAAAAGGAGGAAAGGAAAAGACAAGGACGACAAACCGAGATGGTAGCGGGCAGAGAGAGTGTTATTTGTATTGAACGACAGTGATCGATAGCACTGGCCACGTCATGAAAGGTTGATGGAACGACTTCAATAAAGATGATGATGAGATTGATGATAAAGAGAGAAAGGACTATCTACCTCTAGCTAGCGAAGTCGTCCCGGACTTTAGTTGGACCTCTCTATACCAGAGCACGTTCAAGCGCATGCTCGTGCCTGTGCCTGTTTTGAAA